ATACCTATCTTAATTTAAAGGCAATTTTAACGGTATTACTAAAGGTGAAGACTAATCAAATCAGATAGTTTGAGGTGTTAGTTTACTGTTCTTAAGTGCCCCTGCATTAACTAGTGCATTGAAATGACAACAGTGCTTTGCTGCTTTGAATTTTTGTAGCATGTTAGATCAGCTAATCATCCCCCGAATTCATGCGTGACAAATTACAGGCAGTTTAGTTTCAGCAAGCTGACTGGGCCCATGCTAAGTGTCCTATTGTTGTGCTTTTTGATCCATACATTTCAAAATAATATAAAATCCTTTGTCTTAAATTTACATAATTCAATATATAGATTGAATTTAAAACTTTTTATTTGAAAGAGACTGAGAGAACACGAATGGAGGAGAGGGGCAGAGGGGGAGGGGCAAGGGGACTCCCCGCTGAGCACAGGACTCCCTGGGGGCTCAAGGTGGGCCTCCACATGGGGCTCTACACTGGGCTCCATCCCAGGACCCTTGGGATCATGACCTGAGCCAAAGTCAGACACTTAACCGACTGAGCCACCCAGGCACTCCTGAATTAAAAACTTTTTAAACCAAAGTCATTTAGCAGCAAACATCAGGGCATAACATTGTAAAAAGAAGCTCAAAAGCGGTACCTCCAAATATTTTGAAAATGTAATAGAGATGCTCACTTAAACCTGATAAATCATAAATTTATAATGAATTTTAAATCAGTATATTTTAAATATCACAGGTTCATCCTTCTCACTAAGTAATTGTTTTAAGAACAGCAAATTAAGATATAAAATAATTTAAATACGTAATTATTTTTAGTTTTAAGTACTGTGGTTCACTCACTTTAAACACTCGTGCGGGACACTTAAAAATAGTTTCTGTTATTAAGGATAAGCACGTATCTTGAATCCTCACTGTTTGGCATTAAGTGAAATGTTGCCCATAGGGTCCCTCTCCACAACCCTTTGAAGGATATCACATATTATTCCCATTTTACAGATGTGGAAGTTGAGAGCTAGAGATGTGAAAAAACTAACAAAATGTCATACTCCCACGAAATACCAGAACTGAGGTTCAAAATCAGGTCTGTTAGAAGACAAGGAGCACATTTGTAATCACAGTGCTGTGCTCATGGCCCTAACATCATGAACTACGGACACCTAATAGAGCAGAATGAATACGCTGTCCTAGTAACATTTGTGCTTAGGTTAAACAGCAGTTCGTTATTGTTGCTGAATTTTGGGAGCTTTATTCCATGAAAACACATGAATGCATATGTATGCAAGGCCTCCATTTCCTACCACAGAACGTTTGCCTTTGAAGTCCCCGCTTAGCTAGTTTGGTTCTTAGTTGAGCATTTAGCAAAAGTTAAAATGTAATGCCAAACTTCATTGGTTGGATTTTTTATTAGATAAGGTAGAAATGAAAGCAGCAGGCAATTTAATTAGCAGTAATTTTTTCTGGGCAAGTCATTACTTTGATGAACTTCAGAGCAATGTTTATGGCTCCTAATTAACCATGTTAGTCATTTGATTGAATAATCACTTTGGAAATGTTTCTACAATTTGATTAGAGTCTGACCCACTCTGATAGTCATAAATTAACTGATACCACTTTAGGATAACATGACTTTAGTTACTTGAGGGGAATAAACTCCTCTTAGCCATATTTTTTTCAGGCTTCTCTGGACTCTATAAGGGATACCGATTTTAAGGATAGACTGGATTTAAACAGTGCTCGCCAAGTGTCTCAATTTCAAGAGCTGATGTTAATTTTATTTACTCCGGAGTATAATAAATAGTATTAAGAATGGCAAAAACACAATTATATTCTTATATATGTATTTTTCCCCCCTAAATTGCCACTCATGGCTTTTCTTAGAACTTAGATCTCAAGTTTGGTCTCTGGAAGTGTAATAGAGGTTCTGGCTTTAGCCTTATTATAAATCATTAATTTATTATGAATTTTAAATCAGTATACTTTATTTTTTTATTTTTTTTTACAGATTTTATGTAGTCATTTGACAGAGAGAGACACAGCGAGAGAGGGAACACAAGCAGGGGGAGTGGGAGAGGGAGAAGCAGGCTTTCCGCCGAGCAGGGAGCACGATGCGGGGCTCTATCCCAGGACCCCGGGATAATGCCCTGAGCCGAAGGCAGACACTTAACAACTGAGCCACCCAGGTGCCCCTAAATCAGTATACTTTAAATGTCATATTGATAAGTAGAATTTATGAAAAAATATTACAGAATTAGCACAAGAAATAACAAATCGGCAAGGTCCATAGAGACGTGGGAATTAGTGAAATGATCATCACATTCTATCTTTGATGTCACATGCCCAGGATCGTGCTTATTTTGTATTATGTTACAGCACTTTTATAAGATGTTCCTTCAACTTTGACTTGAGCGTTTCTTATAAATGCTTGAATTTCCTCTCCTCCTCTTTTTGTCCCCCACTGGGGGGAAAGACTGCATTTAGTCACACTTACATATAATAGAGTTTAATCTATAGGTTTTCCTCTAGCTGCCTCAAGAGCAGCCTACAGCCATACCCCAGCTGGGCAGCAGTCAGTAAAAGTGTTTTGTGGCAGGCTGTCAACATTGGTACAACAAAATTCTTACCTCTAAACAGCTGCTGAACTGATGGCAGAGTCATTAACACTGTCCCTCCTAGGCCCAGCTGCTCTGAGGGTCCTATGCCTGGCAATAAATCAACATAACATTAAAAATTAATTTGAAGTACCACTGGTTAAAAAGTATGGATAAAATGGACTGCTAGCTCTTTGGTAACGCAGAAGTTCAACTACTCTGCAACCCCATTATAAGTTTCTTGATATCAAGAAACAAGATAAACTCTGTCTTTTGCAGGGTCAGAATTATATACTAGATCATATGTTATATAAAGAAGGCATGGTGTTCTAAAATGTTTGATAATGAGTTCTATATTGTTTTCAACTCATAAGCTTGTTGATTTCTACATACTTTTTAAGTGTTATCGCTATTACAAATTGCCATTAAGATATTTTTTACTAAAACCATGTAAGCTTTTTTCTTTGAAAAATTATCTCATATTTTGGTTGACATTAATCACCAGGCAAATTTTTTTTTTTTTTTTAAATCAGATAGACTTTAAAAATGGAACATTCCAGACCAAGAAAGAATGGCCCCTAGGCCAAATAAATAGTGCTAATTATCTGTTATAACATGAAAGTCTGTGGATGGATAGTTAAGAAGAGATGAGGGTCTTTAGCTCCAATTCATTTAAATGTTCTTTATTCCTTGTTCAGAAATCATGTACTTGCTACAAGTGGTAGAATGGAGGACATACTCTTATATTAAATAGGACATTTGTCCTTTGTATTTTATAAGTTTATTTTTGTATGTGTTGAAAGTTTCAAAAACTTGAGGATACCTACAGATGATAGAATTAATTTAGTCACATATATTTAAACATTCCTATAGAATCTTATATGTTATGTACAGGCTTGGGCCCAGGTTCATGGGACCTAAAATATAAAATTTGGGGAACCTTCTGAAAGAAAAAGAAAAAGCAACAGCATCTACAAAATGAGTTGCAGGGCATCGGAAGGGATTCCTGTAAATGGAGGGTCCTTCCTGAAGCTACAACTTCATTGGCTTCACCAGAAATCAACCTCTGGTCATGTGAGTGACATTCTATTCAGAATCAAAGAACTTGAGCCTGTAATAGACTTTACTTATTTATTTATTTAAAAGATTTTATTTATTTGACAGAGAGATAGCGAGAACAGAACACAAGCAGGGGGAGTGGGAGAGGGAGAAGCAGACTCCCTGCCGAGCAGGGAGCCCGATGCAGGGCTCGATCCCAGGAACCCCGGGATCATGACCTGAGCTGAAGAAGGCAGACGCTTAACAACTGAGCCACCCAGGCGCCCCGACTATAATAGACTTTAGATAACATCTGATCCAACCCTTTATTTTATATAAGCTTAGATACAGAATGACTTATCTAAAGTCATTTAGCTTTATTAGTAGTAAGTTAAGAACTGGAATTTTAATCTTTTGTCTCCTAGTCCATTTGTCTGTCCTTTTCCCTATACCTAGGCTACTAAACATGTTAAATACACAGCCATCACTATGACTCAAGTTTAACCATTAACCAAGTTTATTTTCTCAGTGATGAGTTAACTTAGGTAGCATCATAATAGTGTTTGCTATGAAATGGTTGGATTTCTGTTTTATAGCCCCATTCGTTTTGAATATTACCTGTGTGCTTAACAAAATAAAAAGGCAGTCATACTTTTTATCTGGGGGTGAAAAATAGCAGTCACCTTAAAAGACTAGAGTAATTTTAAGAGATGTGGCAGTTTTGTCTTTTCATAATAATTTCTAACAGTGTTCCTGAAATAAACCATGAGTGAGTCTTTGTTGATCTTTGCTTTGAATACCATGGGATATACAAATTTACCCCACAAATGCCCCAAATGTATCTTTACTCATGACCCCATTTGTTCCAAGGGCACTCTCACATTCATGTGGGGTTGCAGGCGAGCCATCCTTTAGTAAACGTGGGGAAAACTTTGAATTTACATGCCTGTTGAACAGAATCCGTGTCTGCCATGATATGCTTCTCATTTTTCCATTCTTTTTTTTTTTTTTAAGATTTATTTATTTATTTGAGAGAGAGAGAGAGCGACCTGGGGGAGGGGCAGAGGTAGAGAGAGAGAATCTCAAGCAGACTCCCTGCTGAGCTTGGAGCCCAACGTGGGGCTCCATCTAACAACCCTGAGATCATGACCTGAGCCGAAATCAAGAGTCGGACGCTTAACCGACTGAGCCACCGAGGTGCCCCTCATTTTCCCATTTCCTGTGTGGGCCCTGTCTGAAATGTTAACTACCCATTGAGAAGCTCCCCTCATGGAGACTCATGTCAGTTTCTGTTATTTTCCTGTCTGCACTCTGTTGGTAAAAGCACATTTTCAGCTCCAAACTTCTCTTTGACTGATGTTTTTCTTCTTTCAGAAGTGCCTAGCTGCCACTCCATTTATATGAGGCAAGAAGGCTTCCTGGCTCATCCCAGCAGAACAGAAGTTAAGTTTTCTATTATTGAAATTCTTTGTAAATACAGTCAAAATTATCAGAGGTACCAAAGATGCAGTCATTTGATTAATCATTATATTTTATGGAAAAAATCACTTATGTTCCCTAAGCCACTATTTTAAAACTTTATCTTTTTAAAGTAAAAGGAAGATGTTTCAGGTCATGTTATCTTGAATTTGGTTGTTAACAAGAGTCATGTGCACATAAACAGCTGAAAAGTGGATTTCTGTATTCTTTTTTTTGTCAACAACCACATCCTTTAAAAACAGAACATGTGCTTTATAGATTAGTCTACCTTACTACTCTCTACTGAAGTTTATCTTTGAGGAATTTCAGTTTTGCTCTAAGAGCTAAGTCTGTGTTTTGAAATAAAAGAGAGTAGATTTAAATATACTTGCCTTTATATATCCTGGATTTTTCATTTTTAGACAAGTAATTGTTAAGAATGGAATTTCACAAGAGAGGCCTAGAGAAGGGAGTTTGTATTGTGGATGTGTTCATGGTAACCATGGTGGGAAAGCTTTGATCTAATGGACTTTGATACCTGCAAAGTAATGGATAACAAGGATCTTCTCTGGGTACATTCCCTATTAAGGTGTTTCTGGAAATATGTGCATGGTTTATGACATAAACGTTCTGTTTCCTCAGTAAGATGGGATAGGTGCATCTTCTTTAGGTTAGGTCTAATACTGGTTGTTTTGCATAAGTGATACTGATAGAAGTAAATGCTTATATTTAAAGAAGAGTATAATAAGCTGGTAAATCCAAAATACTTGGGACCAAAAATTTAGCAGAAATCCAGTGTAATTATTGTCGCTGCTATTGTTAATATTATGTACTCACCGTAGAGACCAGTACATCTGAGAAAGAAAACTGTGACTAAAGTATATGAAATTTCTTACTGGTAATTAAAGACGGCAACGATTCAGTGAAGGTCACAGTCAAGGATATATGGGGGAGAAAATGATTGCTAAAAGCTGTTGATTTATTTTGCATTTTTTCTGTGGACTTAGTTTTGTTACAGGAAAAAAGGACAGTTAAAAAGGAAAATTAAAACTGTCTTGGCTGTTGAAGATGAAAACATAAGGTTAGCCTAGCTAAATATTTCTCTGGGGAAGTAAGAGGTAAACTGAATGTGTTTCAGTTTATCAGGGTAATTGTGCAAGGTAAATATAAGTAACTCATCTTGATTTTCCTCCTGTCTCATGAATAACAAAACTTGGAAGAAAATGAAAAAGGAGATGGTATCTTGTAATTTCTAGGTTTGGCAGTGTTTACCTGCTTTGTGCTTGGAGTAGTGATAATATAAATATCTACTTGTCATATATCACTGTGCACTAGGTACTATTCTAAACTTGCTGTATTAAATCAGTTAATCCTCACAACAACCCCTTTAAGATAGGTGATTCATTATCATTCCCATTTTATAGGTGAGGAAACAGAGACACAGAGGCTGAAGAGTGTGTCTAAGGTCATGGAGCTAAAAAATGGCAAAGTCCTTTTCTACCCCAGTTTTTGTGGTTAATGGCTGTATTTAAATTGCTTGTGAGCTTCATTTGTATCATGAATAAATGTATCCTATTTCCTCCCACAGGCTGTATGTTTGAGAAGGGCCCCAGGCAGTTTTACGATGACACCTGTGTTGTCCCGGAGAAATTTGACGGTAGGTTTCTCATTGTGCTTCAAGTTCCATTTTTTTAAGAGGGAGTGGAGAGATCACCTTTGACTCTCCTCAAAACAGTTGACATCCTTACTTAAAGATTTCCATGCACATCATTTATGATGCATTCAACTCTTGCTAAACTTTACCTTTTATAAATTCTCTCTTCCTTCCCCTATTCAGAAGCTTTTTCTTTTGTCCTATGAGAGAGCTCATTTTTAAAGATACTACCAGAGACTATCATTCTTGCTGAGCTTTGTGTAGAGTACGAGGGGTCTTTCCATTGCCCTGCTGAGCACATGCGGCTTGTTGTTCGAGATTTATTGAAAGCTGATCCCATAATTAACAAAGCAGAACAGAAAGCATGCTACTGTGGATGCACAGATGACTAATGCAGCCTCTTTCCTTTTACTGTTCATGAAAAGATGCATTATGGAACACAGGAACAACATAGCTGCCCATTTAGTTAGTGATTGTTAGTCGTTCTTTTTTGTTTTTCCTTTTTTTTCCCCCTGGGAAGATGTTCATTACTAATGTGCAATTACTTTGTAATTGCTTAAGATGGAGTTAGGAAAGCATTACCCTTTTAATATCACTCGCTATTGCAGTGAAAAGGTCCCAGATTTTAGAAAAGAGTGTCAAGTTAGATAGAATTTTTTTTTTTTTTTCTTGACAAAGGTGGCAGAAGTCAGCATCTATGAGGAAGCTTGGGGAAAAGTGAACAGTTAGTTGATTTAGTGGTTCTTCAGAGTGGTCTCCATATTTCCTGCTTTGATTATTTAACAGGAAATGAGCAGGGACCCTCTGATTAGCTGATTGCACAAACTTTAGGGATCATGGCTGTAATGACTTGGTAGCTCTCAGAAGTTTTTAATTGTCATTATTAAAACAGCAAAGTGCATGCTCAGATTGCTTCTCCATCTCTAATTAGTTTCTTGAAGACTACTCTGTTCCTGAGGTTTTTGCTACTCTGGTCCTTTCTCAGAAAGAATGATCATTTGGGGAAGATCTGTTTCCTTAGTCTTCCTTTAAATGGCTAAATTCACTCAAGGTCACAGGGTTAAGCTCTCGTAGGGGTCACTTTTTTGGCCTTATTCTAAGTAGCTGTTAGTTTTAAGCTTCGAGCTTCAGTGTGGTATGTGCTAGTTAGCATCATTAACAGAGTCACAGTTCTTAAAACACAGCCTTTTCTCTTAAGACAAAGCATAAAGCCTTCACTTTTTGGAATGAACTCCATCAGTTTTTTGTTTTGTTTTGTTTTGTTTTTCATTCTTAGTGAGCTTAACATTTTAAGAAATCTTGATTACCAGTATGGACATATAAGGAAATAAAAAGAGCTCAAAACTACTAACAGGCCTAAGTCACACTAATGTTTAGGGAAGCAATCTATCTTGATTATTTATTCCCTTTGACTTTTAAATATTCTTCAACTTTGTACTAAGAAAATGTTTTTTGCAAGATAGTTTTATATTTGATAAGGCCTAGAGAACAAGAGAATAGAAAAGCAAAAGGTTATTTTTTCATTGACAAGGCTAGAATAGTCCGTCACATTTATAGGCAGAAACAATCTAGAGATTATAAAATTTGACAGTGTTTCACTCTCTCTGCATAATTGCTCAGTTACCCCCGTGAAAAAATTTGTTAAGTCTCTGAAGGAAAAACTGAGATAAATAAAACTGTCATTGAAATCAATATGAAGAGACACTTCTGTATTATCTAGCTTAGACCAAAATGACATAATGATTTCTTTACAGCTATTGACTGAATAATTTTATTTTGGTTGTGGTTTTTAAAAGTGTTGTTCTTTTTGTAATTATTTTAAGAGGTGTAGGTCTGTCTATTAACCAAAAGAAAGTTTTAAGAAGCTTTGATCTGGTCTGTTTTATAATTCACACTTACTGTGAATAGATTGGCTTGAATATATTCTGTCTGAATTGTTTCTATAGTGGAGAAGAGAAATTCATGCATTAACAATGATATGTTTGTAGGGCCCTAGACACTCAATCCCCAGTGTGACCAATTCCACATATTTTTGGGGATGGTTGACTGGAGGTAGATGTAAATAATCAGGAGTTATGACTGAATATTTGTTTGTTAAAAACAAAATAACTGACCAGATTTATACCAGAAGAATTACAACACTAACACCCTTATTGCTGTAATCTACTTAATACTACTGGTTTTTACACTATATATAAATAACAAATAAATGTAACACAAACCAGACTTTCTTGATTAAAAAGATAGATTTACAGAAAGCTCCTGTATATGTGTTTTTATTTTTATTTTTTTAAAGATTTTATTTATTTATTTGACAGCGAGAGACACAGCAAGAGAGGGAACACAAGCAGTGGGAGTGGGAGAGGGAGAAGCAGGCTCCCCAATGAGCAGGGAGCCAGACGTGGGACTCGATCCCTGGACTCCAGGATCATGACCTGAGCCAAAGGCAGTCGCTTAACCAACTGAGCCACCCAGGCACCTTGGTCAAGTAATTTTTAATGCTAGTTCTAGTAAGCCTTGCTTGGGGTTCCCCTTCCAAAGTTTATAATAAGGTTTTAAAGTGAAAGTTACAGGTTGGAATCAGTGGATGACAGAGCAAGATGAACATAATTATTTTCTGCTGCCACATAGAAATATAAATAAATAGTGTTTTATGAGTTTGGAGAAGATTCTTCAGGGCCTCCATCGATTGATTCAACTGACACAAAATTTCAAAAAAGTGAAAACAAGAGAACAAAATTCAGAAGACCACAATTACGTAGTAGTTTAGCTCTAAACTATTACCAGAATGAGTGTTACTACTACTACTAGAGTAGTATCTCAGAAATTTTGTCATCAGCATTTATTATTTTTAAATGATTTTTATTATTTATTTACAAGAGGAGATATATATTTTAGAGAAACTGACCTCATGCATATTTTCTAATAAGTTTTCTTACATCTTTTCTGAACAATTGAGTTACACATAAGTAAACAACCAAACATATTGTTCAAGAAACACAAGGAATGTAGTGATTACAAAAGGAAACTGTTGAAAAATGCTAATTAAAGTCAGATGGAACAGAGGGAGTAAGAGCTTCTGATACTTATTTTAAACACCCAGGCTTGCCATAAACCAGCAGCCTTCCTCATCTCCAAAATGGAAGGTCCTACAGCCAATAATGATAATTTTAAAATTTCTAAATATGAAATATTACATTTGAAAATATTCAGCTTAATTTCATCATTTATTTACATATCGTTGAACCATCTCAAGTAGAAGAAAAAAATTTTAAAGCCTTGAATAAAGAGTGAACTGTATGTTCACTCGTCAGTGGTCTTGCCTCTGTTCCATATTTTCTCTGGCTGGGAGATTATAGAATTCTTTATTATCTCCCCGCCTGGCTCTGTCAGGTATTTCAATTTTGAATTCTAAAATATGTTGGTAACTTTATTCTCTTCTCTTTTATTTATCAGATATAGAAATTGGAAGGTACATATTAAATTGTCATGACGCCACAGTAGATAATCCTTCACAGGTTTAAAACCAAAGACTAGGCATCTTTTACGTTTCTCCTCATTCCTTCTTCAGCAGGCATGGTAAAAATTTCGTGAGAAATTGTTTGGAGATGTATACAGAGATTGTTGACTGCAACTGTTTTCCCGTATGGCTTTAGGCCCCTGGAAGAGAGAAGTGGTTTCTTCCCTCTGGAGTCAAGGACCAAGTTACAGATGGCTGATAAAACCTATTATGTGCGTGCTTAACAGTGTTTGGTATATGATTGACTCTTCACAAATCATTCCCATAATTGCTCATAAATAGCTTTTTTCCTTCTAAAAACTCCAGATATTTTTAGGCATTACCATCTTTAGTAATTTCCAGTGCAGTGATGATTATGGTTTCATGAACTTTGGCTTTTTGTACCTGATATTTAACACTCCCAAAGGCCAAGCCTTGGCCCTATTCCATTAGTAAGCATCATTTGCTTATGGCTACATTTTCTCCTAAAACATGGCAGCTCATTTTTTTTTCCATCCTAACTTTAAAACTGTTGCTTCAAAAAATTCAGCTGGAGAGTCACTTGGGAATTTAAAGGAATGAGCTATTGATCCTTCAGAAAATGTTAACATTCTGTTTCTCTAACATCCAAAGATAATTTTCTTTTACTCAGCCAGTGATTTGTGGACTAGTGGATCACTTAATCTCTGATTTTTAGGTGCTTCACTTGTGAAAAGTGACGGTGATATCTTCCTAATTGATTTTGTTATTACAATAGAGGTCAGGGATTGGCCTCACAACCTGACTTTGCTTTTTATTGCCCCGCGTGCCTCATATGGGTTTTCCTCATTTTTCCGAGTTAAAATAGCAAATCTCCCAAAACAGTACTCTGGTCCACTCTATCGCTTTTTCTAAGAAATATTTAAATATGCTCTAAATCTACAGTTACAGTAAGTGGCACTGGCTAGTGATTTGATTTGAGAATTGAGACTATGGTCTGGATTTACTCTTTATGCATTAACACAGGTCAAATGGACAGGGACTGCATTTTAAGTCAGTAATGGAAGGCTGAAGGCTGTCTTAAACCAATCATATCAGTTTTACCCATGACTGATTGATCCCTGGGGGCAGAGCCCTGGAAGCATTTGTCTTACATGAATGGACTCTATAGAGCCTGGAGTTTCATTCATAAAATGGAGACTGAAAGGAAACACACACGCGC